CTATGACTGGGAACATGGGCTACAGATCACAGGCCCCTGCATGGCACATGCCAATTTTGTGACTTCTGTGCAGTATGATGTACGACTCTTTGGCCCCTCCTTGATGACCTCCTCCCCGCTACTTAGTCCTATATTTGAGACTTGTAGCCTGAGCTAAAATCCACTACTCCCTGTTTCTCTGGGAGCAGCTATGCCATTTGACGAGGGACTAACGTCTCCAGGTGGTAGATGTCTGACTCTTCTATCCTCCTGCCTGTCTCCTTCCCCGCATTACCTTCTTGTCAGAATGCCCTTTGGAGAATTAAATGTTGCTTCTGTGTGGAAACAGAACACGGGAAGGGAATTGTATACATTTATACATCACTGGGAATGCTAGGAGAGACAAGAGTCCGAGGTAACCTTTGTAAACTGAAACGATGCCCATCTAATTTTTTTTTTTAAATGATAATGCTCAATGCCGATGGTGTCACAGTCAGAAGGAATTGCCAGTGTTGGTGAGAATGCAATTTGGTTAGAACCTTTCTAAAAAGCTGTTTGGCAGGATATATCAAGACCCTTAAAAGAAACTCCTAGCCTTTGACCCACTAATTTTACTTCCAGGAATTTATGCCTAGGAAACAATTGAGACACAGGCAGTGATCCTCCGTGAGGATGTGAGTTGCAGCACTATTTATAATGGCTAAAAGGGGATAGTGATCTGAATGTACACAATAGGAGAATGGTTACATAAATCACGGTGTACCATACAATGGAATACCCTGTGGCAATATTTAAAATATATCAAAGGCTATTTAATGACATCAGAAATGCCTTACTATATTAAATGAACGAAACCGACTATTAACTGTGCGTGTAGTATTATCCCCCTAAAAAGTGAGGAGGAATATGCCAAGTTGTTAATGGTAATTATCAGTGGTATAAATTATGTATGATTTTACTGCTTTTCTTCTTGCTTTTTGGTATTTTCCAATTTTTTACAGAGGCCGTCTATAATTTTGATGATCAGAATTTTAAAAGATTAGCTTTCTTCTTAATGGGTCCCTTACTCCTCTGGAAAGGGACCCTCTCACCTTGCAGCAGCTCTGCTACTGTGGCATGGGGACCAGAGAGGGTCTGCCACGTCCGTCGTCAGATTGGGAACCTGCCTGGCCGCCCTGCCACACACAGCAGGCGTGCCCTGGCGGGTACACCAGACGTCCCATCATTCAAGTGAGTCACCACAGAAGGGTGTCAAGCTGATGATATTGCTACACACTGTACTTGAACTATCAGCCACAATCCAGCCTGCTGCCAAGCCTTTTAGCCTTATCTTCCTAAACCGTTATTCTTTTACTGTCCAGCGAATGTCAAAGGGACTGACTGGGACTGTCTGACTCCTTTTGAGGACACCGTGGGCCAGCAAACTGACGCTGAGGCAAGCCTTCCAGTTGAATTTAACCAGATCAGCAAATGTTCCCTGCATGCTAATGATTAAGCTGTGTTGTTGCTGTAGTTGAGCCTTGATATGTGGGGCCTGGCAGGGCCCCAGGAATATTTCTGGGTGCTGGAGCATTCGGTTTAGATACTCCCAGCTGGACTCAGGATTGTAGAGAGGACTTAAGGGGTCATCTGCTAAAACTGTAGTTATAAAATTATTTTCTCCTATTTTAATCTCAATCATTTGTTATCCTTGGCCTCGTTAGTGGGAAAAGGGTTTGAGAAGTCAATATTGGCGGTTTCAGAGCCAAGAATGAAATTGATGGGGGTTTTTTGTCTGTTTTGGTTTTTCGTTTGGGGGGGGGGCAAGAATTTTTTGTCTCCTGCTGTCATTTTTAGGTAACTACAACCAGACACTTCTGTAGTGAAAGGAGAGTTTAGGATTATGCAGAGCCTTGGGCCATCATCCTCCTCATCCCTGTGTAGCTTGTGTCCCACACACGTGTTCTCTGAGGATGAGAACACACGCTCATGCGCATGTGGTTTTGCATCAGAACTAAAATGCATGCTCTGTTTCCTGGAGGAGCATTTGTATGTTTATAGTCCTTCTGTTGCTGCAGGCATCGTTGTGCTGTATAAAAGTGTGCAGTAGCATTGTTGATAGTGAGGTTTTATTGACAGGCCTCTATGGTACAAATAAACAAAAGGCATAATTCCTTGAGTAGTTTAAAAAACCATAGAGGTACTATGAAGCATGCATTTTATTATTACACTAACTCAGACACAGTGGTAATGAATTTTAAATTGTGGTCATTTCATAGCACATCAATGCTATTGCCATGACTGAAATATAAACAAACAAATGAAATTCTGTTGTTAAAAATTACAGTTAATACTATGGCAATTGACCTGGGAATTGAAGAGTTAAGTTCTTATAACAGTTAGGAATATCCTGCGTTCCAGCCACACCCCCAGATCATTGCAGCCATGTGCTACTACTGGCCAAGAACCACTTAGGTATCTGACGATGTGAAAAACATTCAGAACCCACGTTGTATTCATGGAATATGTTCCCAACTATGCCTTTAGCCTAAGACATAACTCTTGGTACTGATGGAGTAGGAAGCTGGAGGTGTTTCCTACTTATACAAGTCATTTTAAAAAAGAAAAAAGGTATAAGGACTTTTTTTTAATTGTCCCATGGTAACCATTGGCCAAAAGAACAGATTAGTCCTGGTTTCTGGGCCTGGGCTGTTCTCTTGAACCTCCAAATGATCCCTGGTCCTACTTGGGTTCCTGGGCTTGGCTACAGTTCAGAAATGGTTACCAGGCCTTGCCTAGTAGATGGTTATCTAGTGAGACAGGGTTGTGGCGAGAGGACTAAGAAAGCAAGGCTTATCTTGCCAGCAACAACTATGGAAGAAACCAGGCAGTAGAAAGGAGCTAACACTTCTCCTAGGACTAGAGACAGAGTCAAGTGAAAGCAGATATTAAACTAATAATAGAGTAGCTTATCCCTCGGCTGGTGGATCTTACTATTTTATATTACAGTTGTTTTTTAATCTGTCCCATCTTGTCAAATATGTTTTAAGCTCTACAAGTCAGGGATTTTGGCAAATTCCACTTATTGTCTTGATCATACTAGGTGTTCTCTGATTAGTCTTTGCTGGATTAAGAAAATTTTTTTAAAAAAGAGTTAGAGTTTTTGAATATGAATCCCATCTACTATATGAATCTACCAGACAGAACACTGGAGGCAGGATTGGGGATTTTGTTGGAATTTACAGTATGTTGAGTCTTACTGAGTCTGTCTATTGCTGTATTCCTATTTTCCCTTGCAAATATGGTAGGCATCTAAGGGAAACTCAGAAATCAGTGGTTAAGAAGATTTGTAATGCTGTGGTGGGGTCTGTAAAGAAGCTTGGCATAGCCTAGAGGAACGGAGCAAGTTCTGCTACCCCAGAGGCAGTGTACTGGTAGCAAGAGCCCTGAGCTTGGAGTCAGGGGATAAGGTTTGAACCTCAGCCCTGTGACTTACAGGCTGGGTATCCTATGCAAGCTTCAACTTAGCCCAAATTTCCGCATCTGTGTGAAATGGAAATTATAAGAGTGCCTGTTTGTGGGCTTATTGGGTAGGTTAAATGAAATTCATTAACTTGCTTAATAATTTGTAGAATACCTACAGGCACTATTTTAGACATTGGAGATATAGCAGTAAACAGAACAGACAAAAATCTCTGCTCTCATAGAATTTATATTCTAGAATATAATACACATAATGGCATTTAATAAATGTTTCATCACAGTTGTCTGAAGCTCTTTGATGAACTCACACAGTGGGTTTTTATTACGTGTTTCATAGGTGTTTATGTCACAACAGTAGGTACTCAGGGCTGTCACTGACTCTCAGGGCTGTCACTGACTCTCATGGCTGAACTGGCATAACCCTGGGGAAGTCCCATTAAGTAGGACCTTCATGTGCTCTCCCTAAATCCCACTGTGCTTAGAAAGTCCGTTCCCCTTGAATTGAGTTTCTGTCGTTTTCACCTCCATAAAGTGCTTAGTTCAACAGTCCAGCAGTCGGCTGAGGTTCAGGGGCCGCAGGTGGTGGTGTGGCTAGATGATTTCCACGCTCTCTCAGTCATCGCGTTTGCACTATCTGTGACTTCATGTGATTTCACCAGGTTGCCAAGGTGTTTGTGTAATTGGTAGAAATAAGTCAAAGAACTAGCATGACCAATTATTATAAAATCCACAAACCATATTTTAGTGAGTAATTTCTACTTTTCCTCTCTAAACCTTTGATTAGCCACCCATCAAAGAACAAAATGGACAAATTGAAGGTTCCAGTTTATTTGTTTTTCATTGCCTTCCCTCTGGGGCTTTTTCTTTGAGCATCAGAATGCCCAAAATCTAGGAAAGCAGAAAGTGCAGGCCTGGACAGCAAACCTCAGGGGAACTGCACACCGCTGGTAATCGTGCGCCGTCTCCTGAGACGTGTGTTCCATACTCACCTTCATCTGCTATCATTTTCCTAATGCAGTATTTCAGATCCCCACTGGCATGCATCCCATTTAGTTAAAAATGCAAACAGGAAATTGTTCTCTGGCTGAATGACCTTTGTGGCCCAGAAAAAAAAAATGTCATTTTTGCTGAGACATAACTTTAAAACACTCCCACACTCCCACACGGTAGACGCTGCAGGCTCGTTGTAAGCTTATCTCTGCCTCAGAACAAGGCTGGTGGTAGGATATGGGTGTAGGAACTCGTATACATGGGTTCCGGGCATCTGTCACCGACGGCCAAAGGTGCAGTGGACATGACTGCAGCATCTCTTGTCACTTGGAAAGCAGCTGTTCTGCAGGGCATAGCCTGTTTATGCTCCAAGGAATTACACGACGGGCATTACTTGGACAAGAGTTTTGGTCTGGAGGAACGTGATGTGGCACTGACGACACATTGCTGGGTTCCAGTGCCCCTCTGCTCTGCTCCAGTTCCCCGTCATCTGGCCTCCCCTGACCTCCCATGCTCCCAGTGTGGTTTCCCTGTGTGCTGACGAGTTTTCTGGTTGTTATGTCTTGCAGCCCCCCGAATCCAAGCCCAACTTCACCCCTCTCGCCATCTTGGCCCATGTTCTCGGCGCCATCCAGCCCTATGCCCACCTCATCCACGTCCAGCGACTCATCCCCCGCCAGGTCTGTTGCAGGGTTTGTTTGGTTTTCTGTTGCTGCTGTTGTTCTCTCATTGGCTTGGTCCTCTCTTCATGCAGTGTTCAGCCTCCTCGTCAACTTTGTTCCCTGCCATCCAAACCTGCACTTGCTTTTTGACAGGCCAGAAGAAGCGGTTCATGAAGACTCCAGGTAAAATCTCGGATGATGACCAATCTGTTCCCGTTTATCCAAAGCTGGTCAGGGACAACGGGGGGCTGCCTCTGCTCTCCTATGGTTCCATCCTAAGCGATCAAAGCCCAGAAGGGACCATTTGCATGAACCAGCATGGCACTTTCCACAACCTTTTTAACCCTAACTCTGGTTTCTGAATTAATCTCTGGTGCCTGGTGTTTGGAGAAGGAGCACCTCCTGAATAAGATGCTTGTTTCAGTGGCTCTCCAAATTACATGGGCTCTCTGTGCTTTGGTGTGAGATAATACAAGCGGGAAGAGTGTTGAGACATGTGCTGGCCTTTTCTTCTCTCATTTTTATTAGGTAGCTTCAGGCAACACTTATTTGTGGGGTTGGGCCACTGGCCATGAGCAGTGACACCTAGTCTCTGAGACCAGATCCACTGGGTGAGAGACGAATATAACAAAGAATAAAAGCTCAAGATATGAAGCGATTTCTCTTAAATTGCTCATGGCTTGTGCCTCCTTGTCCTCCACATACTCCAGGAATCATCCGTGCTCCCAGCCTGCTTCTATCTCTGTGTCATGAACCCTGAGCTCTCATGGGAACGGGCACCACCTCTTTCTGAGGGTGAGCAGCTTGACCTAGTTCCTCTCCCCAAGAGCCATGCCATAGTTTTCCCTGCTTCCGTGACGTCCAGACTCAAGTGCCACAGTTCTTAGCCCTTGCGCTCTTTGAAGAAAAGAAGCTCTTTCAATCCAGGAAAAGAATCCAGGAAAGCTCCTGCAGAATGCCCCTGCTGCAAGGTTCTGAGCCTGGGGATCTCTCGAGCTTAGTCTCTGCTGTCAGACAACTGAAATGTGGAGCCCAGTTATAGGCGTCATAAGCATTTTGGGCTTTGGCAGTATTCTCTCGTCCATCTTTTTCCCCTAAGGGGTGGATCCAGCAGAGAGGCTTAAATAATTTATAAAGCTGAGTCTCACTTTTAAAAAAAGAAAACCCCATGCTATTTATATACACAGATACATATATTACTTTATCCCCACCAGGCACTTCCACATCCATCATTTCATTCTGCCCTCATGTGAGAGTGAGAAGAGAAATGGCCTGAACCCTATTATAGAAAAGGAAAACTAAGGCACAGCAAGGTGGCTTGGACACAGTCACATGATTAAATGAGAGCCAATCCAGGATTCAGGACTTCTCCCCTCAGCCCAGCACTGCTTCCTCCAAACATGGGTAACCCCAACTTTAAGTTTCTCTGTAGCTCCCAGCCCCAGAGCCTGGCCTGCTCCTTTAGGTTTGATACAGTTTTCTACCTGGCTTTATCCTGGATGATGGGAAAGATAGCTTTTCAGTATTTTTTTTTTCTGACTCTATAAATAAGGTAAGAAAAAAAACATACCATATTTTCCTGATATAACATCCAGGTTATTTCCTAATTATTTCTTAGGCATCTTCTGGGCACTTTGAGAGACATTCATTTTCTAGGATACCAGAGTTGGTATGGATTATTCTGGTTAGATCCCTGACTGCCCCATGAGGACCTGAACCAGAGCAAACTACAGTAACCAGAGACAGTCACCTTCCAAAATGCCTCACTTGTTAGAGAGGCTTGGGCATTAGGAGAATTTGCCTGCTTCGTTTTCATTGAAAGGGAGTAAATTCTTCAAAACATTGGCTCCTTGGACAAAATGGGTTAAAGGACTCAGGGCAGTGGAATCATTCAGCTAAAAAATTGACATGGACTCTCTGCTGTGAGAGTTTTGAATTTTTTGTGTCTCTGAGCTGTGGGACCCTGTTGCTTGTCCAAGTATCTCTTCATCTCCCAAAATATGTCCAGCTTATTGTTTTTTCAGCTACTCCTTTCCACCTCCCAAATTATTTCCAGATTGGCAAAGGACAGTCCGTGGCAATAGAATCTGCTCACCCGGTATGCTTGGGGTCATGGTTACTCAGTACTGCCCTCTCTGGCCATTGTTAGGATGGCACCACTTGGACGTCCTTTAGGATGCTGCCATTTTGAAATAGGCAAGGCAGCGTAGGGCTTGGAATTGGCTGTCACTGAGCTAAGTGTATGCCAAGGTGAGCACAGATAGGGACACTGCGGGGAACTAGCCCATCAGAGGAACAGAGAGGGCCCAAATCCCCTAACTGCTATTGCAGTGTACAGCCAAGAGGTGGGGGCATACACCCATTATTCAGGTCCAGTGGGGTCTTCCCTTGAATCCACTTTTAGAACATGAAGCTTCAGATTTCCTTCCCTGGGCAAAGCTTTGAAAAATAAATTCTGAATTAGACCTAATTCATGATCCCATGAACTTCTGCATGATGTCTCCTCTAGAAATGGCTTCCTGTCCTCTCTTCAAACCATTTTTTGGAGCTTGCTTGTTCAGGCTCAGGAACGAAGCTGCGTTTTGCAGCACAGCAGAGAAAGGGCACTGGAGGAGCGTTTCCTTCCCATTTCCCTTCCCTTTCTCTTGCCCGTCCCCCTCCCCTCCAGAAAAGCCCTTAGCCCCAAACCCGTAACTTGCATTTGCACAGGCGCTACTGGAAATTGGGCCTAAATGATCAAGCCATTGCCACCTGCCAGTCTAGCTGGCCCCACCTCCCGGTCATGATGCCACACACTGGAGAGTGGGCTGTCATTTTGCAAAGCTTGCAAGGGCATTTGAGGGAAGCAGTTCGGAGTGCTTTCCAGGCCTAGTGCCATGCTCAGAGGCGAAAATTGAAAGTGAACTAGCACAAGGAGCCACACTCGCTCGTGCCCTTAAAGGGCCCAGCCGAGGTCTGAAGGGCGCTGTGACAGGCTGTCTGTGTCCAGTGTTGAGATGCACAGCAGGGAAAAGGGAGCCAAAGAACCAACGATGCTCGGTGGGGATTTTAAATTTTTTTAATCAAAGCCAAAGCCTACAAATACAATCTCTCTGCCAACAGGATCTGTTTGGGTAGGAACCCTACCTAAAACAAACTGCTCAAGGCTTTTGAGAGAGAGTTAAGAGACACTGGACTTGTTGGGCTGACAAACTTTTTAAAAGATAAGACTTTCCCCTGAGTAGGGTTGCCGGATTTAGCAAATAAAATAAAAACACAGCATACCCAGTGAAATTTGAATTGTAGATCAACAAGAAATAATTTTTCAGTATATATATGTCCCAAATATTGGCTGGGGGACACACACACACACACACACACACACACACACACACACACACACACATATATATATATGCACTAAAAAAATATTTGTTGTTTATCTGAAATCAAACTGTAACTCGGTGTCCTATATTTTGCCTGGCAACCCTACTCCTGTGGCCCCTTTTAAAAGCACCTCTTTTGTTGTCCCTCCCAATCTCTGCCCAACCTGAGGGAGTGGGGGGGGGGGTCTCAGGGGAAAAGACCCTCCCACAGACTGTCAGTCACCTATTAAGCTGATAGAAAAACAAGGCCCTTTCCTGACCTTTGTGGGAGTTTTTTTTTTTTATGTACTATTTTATTGTCACTTTATCATTCAATTTCAAAACCCTAATATTAGTGGAAAGTTACTCCTTTTGAATGAGAATCGTGGGCCCCTGAGACCACTCCCTTTGCTTTCTGCCTGCCAAATCCCCCGGCTGGTTTCCCTGACTTATCCCTGTTTTGCCCCATTACCTTTATTTAATGAGATTAATAAGTAACCTCTACAAAAATCCAGCCAGAGAAACCTTGCCTCAGATGCTTCCCTGGCCCTTTATTCCCCCTCCCCTGGTCTCTGCACTGTACCCAGCAACGCTGCCTGGAAACCTGGTCTCTAAGACCCTGGCCAATGGGGACTGGATTCTCCTTCCATCTTCAATGTTGCGGCCAGTTCCACGTGCCTGTCAGTATAGCTTTTTTGGCCGTTTTCGCAGCCAGGTCACTTCTCCTCTCTGCTTCCCACCTCCTCAAAAAAAGTAAATCAATAAAGACTTTGATGTCCCTCCCTGGAGAAGTGCACGTTGGACGTTTGGCCTTTGCTAGTCAGCACACAGACTTGGTTGAGTTAGGTCACAGAAGGTGCCCCTTGTCCTGAACTTTATTCTTTAATCGTAATCAGACGGGAAGAGCTGTCTTCCAGCTGGAGAGGATGAATACCAAAGGCTCATCTTCCCTTCGTTCCCAGTGGTCCCACTTTCCCAATTTTCTCCCACCTGGCCTTCGTCTCTTGGCTACTAGAAAACTAGAGAGAATGACAGTAAACTGCGGCCCAGCAACAAATTCTGGAAAATCATTTCCTCTGATTACTCTGCATAACAGAGACCACATGGCCTGCAAAGCCCAAAATATTCACTGTCTGGGCCTTTACAGAAAACAGTTTGCCATCCTCTGCTCTAGAACAATGGTTCTCAACCCGGCTTACACACAGGAATCCCTTGGAGAGCTTCTTTAAAAATACCGACGCCTGTATTTCTGTCTGCACACCTGGGTTGAACCCAGACATCTGCGTTTTTTAAATGCCCCTCAAGTGATCCTGATGCACAGTGAGAGTGGTGTCAACACACTCTGGACGTGAGAAGGGAAAATTGAAATGCACTGTGTCCCCTCGCCCCTCTTCCTCTTCCCCACACTCCCCATGCAGGTGCACATGGGGGCTCATGCACACACATGTGTAGCTGCTCACACACACAACTTTCCTACTCCCTGCCCTTCCCTGGGGGTCGGGGAGTTCCAGCTCTGGAATCCTGCCCCAGCAGCAAGACCCAGCCTACTGCAAAATAAGCAACATCTGGGAGAGGTAATGTCAGCCGGTGGCCTGGAGCCGAAACTTGGCTTTGCTAGAATTTCTCCTTTTTGACTCCCTGAACGTTGCCAGCTTTCAGCTGGGTCTGTTGGGAGTGTTTTCCAGAGCAACTTGGAAGTTCTTTCCTGCCTCTGCTTCCCGCCCTTCCCCCAAGGTTACTCCTGCTCCAAAAATGGGGCCCAGGCAGCCCTCCCACTGCTCAGCTGTTGAAACTCCCAGGTAAAGTTTTAACACGGCACAGCGTGACCCCGGAAGAAGTGTGGTTTCTTGGCGCTTCTGGCTTCTCTCTGAATATTTCTCATTTTTCTCCTGTGACCTTTACAACTTTTCCACCTCATGTTTTGCCATCTGGCTGCCTTGTCAGGCTCTTCCCACGAGAGAGGACTAGGTGGCTTGTAGAGAAAGGGAAGGAGAGAGATTAAATGTCGGGGGCTTTCTACGGGTTTTCTAAAAATGTTAAATAAACTCCTGTTTTCACACAGCACACCGTTCCGGAAGGCGAAAGCCTTGTACGCCTGCAAAGCTGAACATGACTCAGAACTTTCATTCACGGCAGGCACGGTCTTCGATAACGGTGAGTTTCTCATCCCCTCGCAGACATACGGGGAGAGAGCAGATAAATAAATAACTGGTGTTTGCAAAGTTCCGACCGAAGAAAAATCTCGATAGAATGGGTAAAACCAAAAAAGTGTGTGTGTGCGTGTGTGTGTGTGTGTGTGTGTGTGTGTGCATGCGTGCGTGTTTCTATGTCTTTTCCCAAACCAAGACAGCGGCTGCAGGGCTTCGGGAGGCGTTACAAAGAGTAGACAAGTATAATCAGCTCCTCGTTGAGTTGTTATGAACATTAAATGAGATTGTGCCCGGGAGGGACTCAGCCCAGTACCTGGCAGTGGCTTTGGGAGATAATCCATGTCATGTGTTTAAAATGGTGCTCAACACATATTAAGCGTCAACATGTTGTTATTGTTATGACTGTTAGTGTCATCATCATCGTCATCATCATCACATCTGTCTTAGGAAAAAACCCTGATACTGTCCTCGTTCACTATGGCGGTTTTTCCTTGTTAGCTAACACGGCCCAGGCCTGGCTTTGGCTGGGCAGACGGTGCTGCAGCTGTCCTTCTGGCTCCTGGCTGTATCTGTAAGGGCCTCACATCCATGCCAGAGCAGAAACAGGCTCCTGGGAACCAGCCCTTGACTGCACCCTTGTCCAAAGGGGCTGCCACTCTGCGTGCCCAGCCCTGCATCCAGCATCGTCGAGGTACCCACAGGTAGACAGTATGGGAAATGAGGCACAGAGCCCTAGGGAGGCCCTCGGTCACACTCAAGCCTTGGCCTTCTGGGCCAGCAGGAGTGGGGGTGAGCCCAGAACTGCAGGTGGCCTGCTGAGTCTGCATCCCCTTCTAAGGTTCTCAAAGCCAAAAGCATTGTCCTTAAACCTTTGCTCCATTAACTTTGATTTGGGCCCTTTACAAATCAAAGTGCGCAAACAGCCAGCCCAGCCACCTCTCCTGTCAGCAGCTGGTGTTTTCAGGCCGGGCAGACCGCAGGTGCAGTGGCTCTGCTGGAGGCTGTCCAAAGCCACGTCACTGGGGAGTGTCTCCTGCACAGGCCCAGGCGGGGGAGTCCCAGCCCCGCCATAACATGACACAGCTTTCGGGCCAGACGGACCAGAATGGGCGACATCGCTCAGGCTTCTGTGCCCTGCTCTGTCAGCAGGGGAGGGGCTTCTGCCTGTAGATGAGCAGACTTCGAGAGATTCCTTCATTTACAGGTGAATCCAGGGCTTAAAGGTCTGTCCTCTGAGTCCCAATTCACCGTTCACATGGGCAAGGGAACATCGTGTTCCCATCAGCTGTTCACCCTGACAACACAAAGGACCCCTGATCCCAGGGACAGAATTGGTTTAAACTATCAAACGGCACATGTATGCTTGTGTGTCTTATTTGTGACTCCTTTTGGTTGAGTGCAATCTTCTTTCTGCTTTTATTAATAAAAGTTTTATTGAGATATCCACACAACATACAATTTACCCATTTAAAATGTACAATTCAGTGGTTTTTAGTATATTTGGAGTTGTGTAACCGTCACCGCCATCTAATTCTAGAATATTTTCATCACTCCCAAAAGAAACCCTATACCTTTAGCAGTCACGCCCCATTTATCCCTAACCCTCCTCCATCTAGCTCAAGGCAACCACTAATCTACTTTGTTTCTGTACCTGCTCTGGACATTTCATATAAATGAAGTTATATGAAATGTGATCTTTGTAACTGGCTTCTTTCACTTTGCATAATGTTTTCAAGGTTCATCCGTGATGTAGCATGTAGCAGAACTTCGTTCCTTTGTGTGCTATAACCACATTTTATTTAAACTCACTCGTCAGTTGATGGGCATTTCGATTGTCTCCACTTTGTGGCTGTTTGAATAATGCTACTGTGATCATTTGTGTATAAGTTTTTGTGAAGACAAACGTTTTCAGTTCTCTTGGGGATAGACCTAGGAGTGGGATTATTGGGTTGGGTCATATGTAACTCTGTGCTTGCTGTTTGAGGAAATGTCAAGCTGTTCTGCAAAGCGGTCACACCATTTTACAATCTTGCCTTCTCTCGTTGTTAAGTCTCCTTTTTGAAGTAGTTTAAATAGTTAACCAAAAAAGAAAAAAAAAAAGACAACAGGGGAAAATATACCTGGTGATTTTTAATTCCAGAGTCCTCTCCTTCCCAGCAGGATGCCCTGCCTGGCAGGTTCTGTCGCCGCAAAGCCTGCACGTGAAGACACCTGAGAGCAGGGGAGAAGTTTGATTTAAAGAGTCAGAGTCCTCACCCAGACCTTTCCGGGGTCTCTGCTGGGAGTCATGGCAGGATTCACTGAAGCTGGTTTGTTTTTAACCAGCAGTGCCAGTGACCTTTCAAATTCCCTGAAGAGCAAAAGGCCAAATTAAACCTGAAAGAAAACACCTCCCAGTGTTTACTGGGCCGCAGCCGAAGGTGGATCTGACAAAATGTTAACCCACTGTCTAGATTGATTGGGCTGATAATATGTTATGAGGTCCCATTTCTAGAGGAAAAGGCTTACGTGTACCCTGTGGCTCACCCCTCTTCGCCTCTGTAGGAGAAATCAGGCAATTCAGGAGAAAAAACTATTGCCATGTTAGGTAGGGGGTCTTCTTCCCTGGTCTGTCTCTTGTTAGCTCACTGCTGGATTTAGTAGGTAAGGGGCTGTTTAACTGGGATGCTCTGTAGCTGTCAGAGTAATTAATCAGAAGAAAGTGGACACGTGTGTGTGTGTGTGTGTGTGTGTGTGTGTGTGCATGCACACGTGCTTTTTTTTCTTCAGGATTAAGAAGAATTTAAGAAGAATGAATAACGAGGAGGAAGAGGGAGGAGCACACGGAGGGGAAAGTCTGTTCTTTCGTAATGATTAATCTCTAAGCCGTTGGATTCCAGGGGCCGGTGTCGTGCTCCAGAGTGGCTGCCTCTCAGTCAGCTCATGGACTTTGTGCAGCGGGGAAGGGACGCACAATACTTGGAAATAACTCCAGCGCCGGCCCTTGCCAACCTACTAGGAAACTGTCCACTTCGCCAAGAGCACCTCAAACAGTAACTGGAAAGAGAGAGAACTCGTGTTCTCAGGAACGTTAGTCATCGGGAAGCAACATGATTAGTGCTACTTGGAAAATTCATGTGGCAGTCACTAAAATTGGGTTCCGGGGATACTTTTATCAAGATCTGAGATGGGCCGGATCCATCAGATTCCCGTGGTACATAGTGCAGCGCCGGTGCCAGGCAGGGCTGTCCCCAGTTTCCTTTGCTGATAGAGAACATCCTCTTCAGGAAGCCCCCGAGCTGCCCAGGAAATGGGGTTACAGGAGAGCTCCTCAGGGGGTGGCTGTCAGCCTCCCCAGCCATCTCCACTGTGACACTCAAGCCCAGGCCAACTCCACCTCTCATCTGGGCATCTCTGCCAGCCACCTAACAGGTCTTGTTGCTTCCACTCTTGCCCCATAACCCATTCTTTACATAGCAGCGAGAGTGATCTTTGCAAAATGGAAATCATGTTATTCGCCTGCTTAAAATCCTTCAGTGGCCTCCTGTTGCTCTGAGCGTTAACTAACAAGGCTCTCCGTGGCCCAGCTACGGCCCCTCTGACCTCCTCTGACCCTCAGATTACACACTGCCGCCGCACAGGCCTTTATGTTCTCAAGTAGGGTCAGCAAACTATGACCTGCTGGTCCAATCCAGCCCGCCACCTGTTTTTGTAAATAAAGCTTTCCTGGAACACAGTCACCATGCCTCTTTGTCTACATATTATCTATGGCACTGCAGTGGCAGAGCTGAGTTGAGAGACACGTTTATTATCAGGCCCTTTAAGAAACACTTGCAGAGCACTGTTCTAAAATCACCCCACGCTTTTCCCCATCTTAGGGCCTTTGAATTGTATTTCCCCCTCATTGCCAGCTGGCCCCTTTGGATCCTTTAGGTTTTAGCTTCTAGAGCTCCTTCCCACCCACCCACATCCCTATCCCAGTCTGTCTTTCTCCTCTGTCACTACCTAAAATTTCATGCTCGTTTACTGATAGATTGTCCCTCCTTGAGAGCAGAATCTCATCTGCTTGTTCTATGCTGTGCTCAAGGACCTAGCACAGTGTCTGGGACATGGTAGGTGCCCAGGAAGCATTTATGAAATGAACGAATGCATTTTAACTACACAAGGGTCTGTGCCTCTTCCCATTAGGGCTTCTGCTTGGGGCAGTCAGCCATTAGAGGTCTTAGTCACACATTTGCTCCTTGTCCACAGCGAGCAAAGGAGGGGAGAGGGCAGGAGCTGCATGCGCAGGGGGGTGTGGGGTATATGGGGATATAGCTGGGAGAAAGTGGTTGGCAGGAAGCACACCATGTCAGCAGCAGCTTATATTTATTATATGCTTGCCGGGCTGGAGGGCCGCCCAGGCAGCTTGCTGCAACACCTTTTGTGTTTATATAGCTCATTGGACACTGGCGCAATTCAGCCCAGCCAGCACTTTCTGAGCATCTTCGATGTTCAGAGCATTGGGCCAGCAACAGCAGTAGTGGTTAAGCTACAGACTCTGGGACAGATGTCCTGGACTCTGATTCACCTCCCTCATCTACCAGCTGTGTGATTTGGGGCAAGATGCTTAACCTCTCTGAGCCTCAGTTTTTCATCAGTAAAATGAGGATGATCACAGAATCAATTCTATAGTCATTCTGAAGAGGAAAGGCAGAAATGCATGGAACACTTACTAGCAAAAGGTCTGCCACTTAGCGTGTGCTCAGCACACGTATTATTCCTGTCCTGCAGGATCACACTGTCTGGTTGAACAGAGGCACGATACGGTGGAAAGGGCTTGGTGTCTGGAGTCACGCTCACTGGGTTCAGATTCTGGTTCTACCGTTATGACCATGCACAAATGAATTCACCTGCCTGAGCCTCAGTGTTCTCATCTGTAAAACAGGGATAATGATAGTATAAGCTGGCCTCATGAGGGTCAAATGAATCAATATATATGAAACTCTGAGCACGTGACGACTCCGTAGCATTTTTTTTAAAGTGTTAGCTTGCATCATAATTCTCAAGGCAGAAGGGAGTTACTGAATGCTGTCTAGCCAGGGAGTGCTATAATACAAACCAAAACGTACTAAAAAGCTAGACAGAGAAGTGAAGCTTAGCAAAAGTGAGCAGCATATTAACAGGACTCGTGGACACGTGGGGTGTGCCGCGAGCATCCCAGGAGTCTGGAGGAGGGAGCAGGTAGAAGGGATTCCTCGGTAATATTTAGGAAGGAGTTGGGGCTTCAGCCAAGCCCTAAAGTGTGAGCACAGGAAACAAGGCAACAGCGAGAAGGGGAGCATGGGTGCTGCCTCCCTCCTGTCAGCTCGTGCGCAGTGGCATTTGAATTCTTATTACCACCTTTGCTGCAGAGGCATTTGGGCCCAGCAAAGTCAGAGCTCCGAACTTTCTGTGAACTAGTTAAAAATACAGGTTCCTGGGCCCCGCGCCCAGCGGTTCTGCTTTAATTGCTTTGCCAGGGGGCCCAGGAATCTGCAGTTTTAATAAAGCGTCCAGGTGATTCTGATGCACGTGGCCTGGGACTGTGCTTTAAGGAACCCTGACTTGAAGACTCCAGGGAGTCAGCAGTCGGACCCAAGGCTGCCTCGTCCCCTGCCGTCCCCTGTCCCATACCTCTCGGCCTCTGGGTTCGGAGAGCATCCCTTGTCCCCTCTTAATCTCCCCTTAGTTTGTGAATTCCATTTCTAATGTTACCGCCTCAGAAATGGTGCTGTTTGAACAGCTGCCGGGAAGGGAGAAACATCCGAAGGAGATGGACTAATGCAGCCGCTAGAGTCACAACTCAATTAGGGGCTTTGCTGCAAGCAGAAAAGGTCTTCTTTTGTTTTATTTTTTATTTTGTTTGGTTGGCTTATTCCTTCTATGTCTTTTAATTTGGGGAATGGGTTTGATTTGTTTATTTTGATTCTAAACACTTGAGGCTTCCTGAAGCTTAGGTGAGTGTCAAGACCAGCCCCTTACCCAGGTTCACTAGGGGGAGTTTTGCTGACCAATGTCTGGTCAAGTGATGTGGGTTTCCTACTGACCACTTACTTGCTTTGTGCAGAGAGCTTTATCCCCGTTGGCTCCATTAATACTCTTTAGAATCCACGGAAGGGGAGAGAGTTTTATCGTCACCACTTTATAGGTGCAGAGACCAATGTGGTCTTGGCAGCTTCAGCCAGGTGGATGGGCAGAGGGCAGGGGTATTTGGGTGTTATTAATATCGAAGGGTGGCGTGGAAGGGCTTTGGTAATCGGAGAGGTCAGGTTGCTTTTAAGATCTATGTGTCCTTCCCAGACACTTCTCTCCCACGCTCTTCCTTGTGAGGGATTCATGTTGTCATGAGTCCAAAGTATCCTTGCTACTTTGGGTTTATTCCTGAAACCTATGAAATTGCGCAGGTACTATGGAGACGAACTATTGAATAGCAGATGTTTGACCTTGTCTTCTCCTAAGGAAGCATTCAAGGTCTAGACAAGTTTGACACTGATCTTCTATAAGCCTCAATCTCTGTTCTTTTGCTGCCTCCCATTTCCTTCCTTTGGTTTCTGTTCTTGCTTCTTTCCCTACAAACTGAAACTAGAATTACAGCGTAATATTGGGACGGAAATGCTTTCTAAAACAAGCTCAGGAAGTCACTTAATTAGCCCAGGAAGGGAATAGGGAAGAATTCATTCTCTTCGAACAATCTTGGAAAATTGGAGTTTTCCTAATGCATTAAGAATAAAGCCCTGCCTCTCCCCAGAGTGATCTGTGTATCTGCAGTTCTCAGGCACAAACAACTCCCACCTCTCAGTCCCATGATTCCTTCTCTCTTCCTTCCTGCTATTGACTACTGTGCACACTCAGCTGGATTTCATATAAGCTTTATAATATCACAGTGGTTTCCAGGGAGATGGAGTTCCCAAAAGCGGATGGTGGATGTGGTTTCACAAAAGTAGATATATAGATTCTTTGGAAATTGAAAAATCAAAGGGGCAGAAATTTTGAAAGTTGCAATAGAGGAAGAGGACAGTTTTCAGACTCATATGTAGGAGAGAACAGAAAAAAAACTAAGAGGATGTGAGTGAAACAGAGGGGCTATTCAAAGGGTGTAAAATGACCAAGAAACACACACACAGGGAATTTTCAAGGAATTTAGAAGCAGAGGGTAGGGATTTGAAGGAAGGTACAATTTATGATTAGAAGCTAGGTATCTTTAAGACTAGTTCTTTGTGGTCCTCCATGAGCACTATACTTTGTACATACTTGAAACTGGGTAGGCAGGTGGGTGGGTGCATGGATGGATGGATGGACCACAATTGACCTATAACCTAAAAAGTAGAAATCTGTCACTTGTTTATAGTTTTAACCAGGAACTTTGGAAGTTCATGAAACCCCTGAAACTGTACGTAAAATTTCGAATGTCTATATCAATTTCCGTTTCTGTTGTGGAGAAAGTTCAGAACAGCCTTCATCAGAAGGCTTATATCCACAAACGGTTAACAGCCTCTGTTTAAAAAAAAAAAAGTCCTAGAATCATGTCACTTAACAAATGATTTTGTTCATCCTTCAAACTCCCTGCACACACACGCACACCCACACACAGCCACCTCGGGCCCTGTCTGTAACGTCATCTCTTCTCACTCGCTCTCCTTCCTGTACAGTTCGTCCATCTCAGGAGCCTGGCTGGTTGGAGGGGACTCTGAACGGAAAGACTGGCCTCATCCCCGAGAACTACGTGGAGTTCCTCTAACCATGGGCCCCAGCAGAACTGCTGAGCTTTCCGTGGTATCCATGACGACCGCTGATTCCAGTGTCGTCAGCCATTTCTCTCTGCCACTGAGAAATGCAGCGTGGCTGACTCTGTTGCTACCTGTCAACACGAACGTTTCTGTGAACTCTGGTGTCGCCCATCTCCATGATCATCTCAGCTGACCCTCGGTGATACTGCAAGAAACAGAAGTCAATCAGCAGAGGAAGCCATTTGATTTTGACAACCGAGAGAAAGGCTTGCAAAGCCACTCTCTCATGAGTACCCCTAACTAGGGAGCACTCATTTTGTTTCAACAGTCGTCTAAACCCCCAACCTTCTGAAAGAGGAAGTGAGATATAAGTAGTTCCCGAGAGCACACAGCATAGCTAAGTCTGACAGGGCTGGGCGAAGACATTGGCACCGAGATCCAGTCCAGGTCCATTGCTTTTGTTTACGGTAGACACTCTCTCTACCCCACCTCTAAATACTTGAGACCACAGTGCTACAGGCGGCTGGGTCTGTCTGTTTGCACGCAGGATGAAGAGGGGTTACGGCAGTGTTTATGTAAGATCCAATCTCTCACCATCTCTGAAGCAGCTGTTGGTCCATCAGCAGAATTCAGTCCAGGCCTCTCATGCAAGGGAACACCCCCTCGCCCCACCACGTTTCCTCCCTGCCAGCTAGGAACTTCTCTGCCACTTAGGGCTGCCATCGCCTAGTAACCACGGCAACCCAACCTACTCTAAAACCAAACCAAAAAAAAAAAAATACTCTCTTCGCATGACACATTTTTTCAACCCCCTTTTGGTAGTTTTTTTAAATGGTTTTCCAACAACCTGAAGCAGAAAATCAAAGAACTAGGATGGTCTACTTGGGGCAGACAGGATTAGCAGCTGGGAACTGTTCCCTTTCTGATGAATTCCAACATCATCAGGATATATTTGGAGCAAACTCTAGTAACCTCTTGAGATTAAATTACGTACAGGCTTAATATTTCTGTTCTTCCATGCAACTGGTGTTTGCTTTCTAGAGGGTAAGGTGCTGCCTCCCTATGGGTGACACCATCCCTTTATCTAACAGGTTTCCCCGTGTCCTGTGTTCACTCATCCCTGTCCCTGCCTGCCTCTAACCCGCCATTGACCAGCCCCCTGGCACTGCTCTAGGCTGCTGAATACCAGTGGGTGCCCTGGTGATTTTCCAGGATAATTCCTGGGCTAACCCCACGACCTACAGTTTAAAGGGACATCTATGTTCACTGCCACTCAGAAAAAGGGAATTCTCAGTCTTTCAAGGCATGAGACTAATATAAGCTGTTGTGATTCAGGAAGACACCAAAAGGTTGGGGCATGGAGGGTGGGATGGGTACCTTCTGAGAAAGGGAATTTTCTGGTCAAAAGGGTCTGTGTCTTGGGGAAGACTGCCTTGGATATGGAAGTTCTGCCTGGACATTTTGAGTTCACCTGGCTTCCAAAGAGCAGAGTCATCAGTACCTTCCACACGTAAACGTCCTTGCAAGAGTGACTCTGGACAAACTGCAGACTGATGGACCATCAAGCTCCCTAGGAGCCCCTCGAATGGCAGCCTTGCTCCAGAGAGTGTTTCCTGCTTCTGGAATTCCTCATTAGGGAACTTCAAAGAAGAAAAGAAAAACTTGAATTGTGTTGAATTACTGTATCTTTTACATTTTTTTTTTTTGAAAAGATAAACTTGTAAATAGAGTGATTTGAAATACTATATGGTAAAGTTTTATATTTGATATTCTTTAAGCTAGTTGCTCCACACATTTAGGCTTTGATTGGTGAACAGATGGGTTTGAAAGGGAGCGAGAGGAGGCAAGGTTGAAGAGAGTCAAGGTCTTTGTCCCCTCTCTGGCCTGGAGGAAGACGACGTTCCTGTGCTCTCTGTTGGTTCTTGTTGGTGGGTGTGACAAATCAGTGGTGTTCAGTTGTCTTTATCCACTTGTGTTTTTGATCATTCCTTGGGCTTTGGATTTGGAGATGGAAAGAGCATCACCAGGCAATGAGTTTTTCAAAAAACTCCTACTTAGTAAGATGAAGCTCAGGATCTCAATAGGTGGGGCCAGGGTTAGACTTTTAGGTTTTCTTCTCAGGTGTATTTCTTGGTGCCCCCACAATGTCAGGGCAGGAGGAGATGGAACAATTGTTGTCCTCCTTGCTTCTTTTCTCTACATCTTCTAAGGCTTTATAAATGAGGGCAAGCTAGTTTGCAAATTTTGTGTGCATCCGTAAGTTCTAAAAAAAAGAAAATCTAGCTTCTGATAATCTTTAGTTCTTGATCTGCTGCTGCTTCCCCTTTTCCTAGACATGTTTATGCCTTTCCCTTCCGCCTCCAGGTTCCTTAGAACCCCCAAATAAGAAAAAGTCTCCAAGAGGAATGTACATTGTACCATTATACCTTTAAAGATGGCTCTGGAATTATCAGGGGTTCATCATTGTGATTCACTATTCAGTCTGTCAGCTCGAGGATTCTACAGCTGTTATCCAGGAACTCACTCAGGAGCAAGCAAAATGTTACCGTTGAATCAGGGAACAAGTATGAAGAATGGGCAAGACCAAGATAGGACTCCAGAAAGCTATCACTGAAAACCCAGGAAGAAGGGGAATATACTAACAGGGTGGACCTGCTCCCTCTGCACTTGGAGCAGCACGTTGGGAAGTGGGGCCTGAGGGGATGAGCATTCATATACCGTCGTGCTTCTTGTTCAGAAAGAGCACTACGTGCTTTTAACACACTTGACGTTTTAAGTTGTCATCTGCCCCATCAGAAGGCTAACTGGAGCTCAGGTAGAGGAACAGAGGGCCAAGATCCTTGCTTTGGGAGTTTCCTCACTGAAGTGTGCCTGTGCACACTTGGCCCCAGCATGACTCCCTGGAGGCTGGTCCCTCCCTCCTGAGTCAGCCCTGATTTGAAGCCAGAAGGAGGCAGAGCTGCTACCAGTGGGATCTTTTAGATAGACTCCTTCGCAGCTTCCCTGTGGCCATGCTGGGCCTGTGACAGGTGGCTGCTCTGTCTCCCTTTGCCCAGCCAAGCTCCCCTCCTCCCCATCAGCTACAGAACTGGAGAAACTGTCCAGAATATGAGCCAACAAGTTGGAAGGAACTTGAAGACTAAAAATAGATTTTACCTTCTCCACTATCCAAACCGCCACCCCTAACTCTGCTTGAATAGGGAACTGGGCAGATTAGGAGAATGAATTGGGTATCAGGGTGGAAGACCATTTCCCAAGAGCCTCAAGTTTCCTTTGCAAGGCCCTGGGATCGGGTTGCGAGAGCCTGAATCTTTTAGGGATGTTAAGATCAGTCCCTCCTTTAGGTTACTCACAGAATTCCTTAGCTAGAGAATGCCATGCCGTGCAAATATAACTGGTTTCAAATCCCTGCCCCCAGGCAAGTAAAATTGTGACTTGCTCAAGACTAAAGGTAATCTCTCTTGTTTTCAAAATTAACATATAGGATGGACTCTGTACAGTGCAGCTGTCCTTGGTATCCTAGAATTGGAGCCAGTTTTTAGCCTAGTGTGTTTAGTATTTCTCCAGCCAATATGTGTTTTCTTATGTCAGACCAAACCTCTTTTTCAACATCAATTCAGTTCCTCTCTTCTTGCGGAGTGCTTTTTGGACAGAGAAGCAAAGAGGGAAAATGAGCAATCAAGTACTGCCAGACTGGCATTAGTAGGCCAGAGCCATGCTAGTGACAGGGTCATTTCAGGCACTTGCACAGGACTCCAGAGTTGTGTGCGCCATACCCGTGGCTTGAAGGGAAGTCTTTCCATCAGCTGAGTTTGTGTCTCCTGAAAATGGCAACCCCAGCCACACTAAAAGTTCTGTCTTGACGACAGAGGCTCCCAAAGCATCCTTGAGGGGTAGGGAAACAGAAAGAAGCAACCAAAAATAACCTGATTCGTGACTGTCTAGTGGCACCTTTCATCTCTGCTTCTGCTTCCAAAAGCGAGTCTGGATCACCGAGTTTTATAGACGTGGGACTCCCAGGTACAACAGTGGCCACAATGGCACCCAGAGTTTGCCCTGGTGTCGAATGTGTTACGAGTGACCCAATTACCCAAGTAGTAGCCAGTATTGAGGAAACCGACAGCCTCTAAGCTGCTGACTTTAAAACGAATGTCCTAGGTGCTCTCTGTCTGGGGAGTTATCTGTCATCTCTGGCAAACCTGACAATAATCAATTACCTTGACAACCCTGCCCCACATCCCTTTAAAGTTAGCAGGATGTCCTCTCACACACCCCGTGCTGGTGTTTAAAAAATGTATCTTGTCGTGCTCAATGTGTTTGACAGCCACACCGATCTGCTGGGTGCTGCACCCCTTCTCTGTAATTGTAGCATCAGAATGACAACAGCAGCAGGGCAATGAACCTTGCACAATCCTACGGCATGCCTGAGATAAGACGCCAACAAGTAATAATTAACTTTTTTCCTTTTGCTGCCTACATTACTTGTCTAAGTAAAGAGCTTCCCAAAGTGGAGGGAGAGGCCATATAGAGAATCCAGATGTCATTCAGAGCCAGCCCTTGCTGAAATGTGGTCTTCTCATAGAAGCACCTGTATTCTTGGGAGAAAAAATATTGGATGTAACACCAGGACCACAGAGAAAGAGAAAGGTGAACCGTACTGAGGAACTTTGGATATTTTTTTGAGAGGAATAAATATTGTTCTTAATAAGGAGAAAAAACAACTCAGAAAAGAATTTGCAACTAATATTTTTGCACAAGTTTTGCAGGATATTACAAAATGAAAACATCTTTCAAGGTGAAGTGCTTTAGACAGTAAAGACTTAGCACAGTCCTAGACCTATGTAAGGGTAGCAAATGCTGTTATGTCAAAATTTGCTTTAGTGTAGTCAGTGAGAACCACAGTGTTGATAACCAAGATGTTCGAGTTCCCTGGAGCAATCCTGGAGAGGCTAAGACATTCTGCACCATTCTACATCGACGATTTCAACAAAGTCATCCAAACAGACATTGACAAGCAGCTTTCTTGGGTATCCAGATACCAGAACCAACCTTGTATCTGAAAATATACATTGATGATACTAAAGTATATATGTATTTGTATGTGTTTGTGTGTGTGTACAGCACATATTTACATAAAGACAAAGACTCGTATAGAGACCCACACGAGCTGGCAGTTGATGAGCCTTTGTAGCCTTTAAGATCTGGAGGTTGAGAATTAGAGAAACGAGAGAGGCTGTTGATTGCCTATCAAAATGATCAAAGATGTAAATTAAGTGCCATTTTAAAACCATGTTCATATTTATCGAATGGTTACTATCTTCAGCTGTGTTCCCTGTTAACTTATTTAAAGTCATGTTGAAAAAAATATCAAACCCATAAATGCTTAGTAGGTAATGCTAGGCTCGTGTTCAAAAGCACTCTAAAAGACACTTTGTCCATATTTTGGAAAAGAAAATATTTGCATGTTTAATTCGTAATTTAGGCTATCTTTGAGTATACTGTAAAGTGCTGTGTGATATAATATCAGTAAAATACTTATAAAATGGCACTTTAATGTTTTCTTTTAAAAAATCATAAATAATGCACTGTTTTAAACTTCAGTATTGACTATTGACTGGTGCATAGAATCCAATTCCGTAATTAAAAAGTAATCTGTGATTAGACTAGAACTTGTTCCCTGTTATTAGAAAACAGTTTTGCCATGTTCAGGCTTTTTAAAAATGTGCTTTTGTGTCACTAAATATATCTATAAAGAAAATACAGTTTCTGTTGAGTGACCTCTGAAACTTGGCTTTCTTACATTTGGTTGGTTTATGTGACAATCGCCATGAAATGAGTGGAAGTATGATTTTGAATTAAATGACTTTTCCATTTGGTGGTATATTTGTTTCTTGAGTTTCTGACAGTTTTGACCCAATACATATTTTACTATTTCCTCAAATAAAGCGTATATCGACCATGAACAAAGATCACAAGCCTAGGCTTCTGCAGTTACTGGTGACAAGCACAGTGCTGATTTTGGATGAGCTCTGAGGAGTTTTGCTTTCTGCTCAGGAAGAGGTCAAATGCCAGTAAACGTGAGAATGGATGGGCTAATCGGGCATATTAATGAGCCCCAAAGAGTCATATTCCATTGAACATTTCTGACTGTATCTCTTAGAATACGTATTTTATTCTTCCCAAATTTGATTTTCTGCTGACCTGTTTCCTGGCACTTCGTGAACACAGTATAAAATAATCGAAGAGCCAGAACATAGGCAGCCCCACTGCCCGGCTGGTTTGTAAATCAGTAGTTTAGGACTCGTCACGTGTTGTCCTGGGCCAAGGCTTATCACTGAGTTTTCGCACTCCTCATCCGCCACCCCCTTCCAGATACGATCTGGTCGCAGCCTGGACCCCAGGTTTTCAGGGAGCTCCCAGTGTCTGCTGCGAGCACAGGGGGCCCGTGGTTGTGCTCAGAAGGAGGGAGTCTAGGGGGACCAGGGCTCCGGATTGAGGGTGAGGCTTCTGGCCTGAGATGCCTGCCCTGGGGAGAGGAGGAAGAGATACGAGGCTCGCTTGGTGCCTGGCTCTAAGGGGGTGGCTATTTAGATGTGCGGGTCACATG